TCGCGGTGGTAGCAACACTCAATGCAAGATTTTATGAAACCCTTGACAAAATTCCTTACCCGTGGGAACCAAAAATTTTGTCCGATTCTTTTTATAGTTCCGTCTACACCAGGATGCCCGACGTCATCATGGCAAAGCTTGAGTACGCGCCATCGCATACCCTTTGGAACAACTAGCAATTGCCGCCCATGCTCCACTTTTCGAAACAATCGATTGCTTTTCAGGCAATAATTTGAACGGATATCGCTTCGTTGGCCGCCAGTATCACTACTCTGCAAAATGTTTATAATTTCGTTCAGCTTGTCATCTTGCCTTTGCATGGTGCAAACCCAATCATTGGTTGACAATGCTAAAACTTTTTCACCGACATCTTCGACTTGTTTCGCCCCATCAACTGGCGAACGACTCATGGCGTCAACATGACTCATCGAAGACCCGGAGCGGTGCACTATATTGCAGTCATACTCCAAAAGTCTTAAAAGCCAACGCGCTACCCTTGGTACCATTGGTTTTGACATCTTCGCTGTTGTGATTGACTGACAATCCGTAACAATAGTGAAACATTTCCCCAGTAAGAACATTCTGAACCTTTCACAAGCTTCAACAACTGCAAGGACTTCTAATTCGTACGCATGATAATTTTTCTCCTGCGGTGTTCGGCTATAATACGCTACTGGCTTCAAATCGTTTCCCTCATTTTGCAACAGAATAGCTGCGATGCCTACACTCGAGGCGTCGGTATGAAGTTCGTGCTCTTTCGTGACATCATAAATTGTAAGCACTGGGGCTCTAATAATTAATTTAATTAATAGTCGGAACGCTTCTTCACACTCCGAATCCCATATAAAATGTGCGCTCTTCTTCGTTAGCTGGGTAAGGGGTTTAGCGATTTGAGCATATCCGGGAACAAACTTGCGGAAGAACCCACTCAATCCCAAGAACCGTCGAACTTCTAACTGATTATGCGGAGTCGGATATGCTTCTATCGCTGAAGTTTTCAAATTCCCCGGCCTAATGCCACTAACATCAACCTGATGCCCTAAGAAAGTAACCTCTCTCCTCAAAAATGAGCACTTCGATAGCCTTAATGTTAACCCCTCTTGCTGAATAATTTTCAGAAATTCCTCCAAGTAAAATAAGTTTTCGTCCTCGGTCTCAGTCGCTATAATAACCTCGTCTACATAACTAACTACTGCTCTCTTCAAAGGTGCAATTAATTGTGACATCATCCTCTGGAAAGTACACGGAGCATTTCGTAAGCCAAATGGCATTCTGTTAAACTCAAAATGTCCACTGGGCGTTACGAATGCAGTAAACGGTTTGGAATCTTCTTCTACTTCAATCTGGTAATAACCAGACATAAGGTCTAACGTAGTGTAAAATTTCTTTCCAGACAATGTTGCCAAAACTCCATCCACTGTAGGCATCAACCACGGCTGCTTTTCGGTTATTGTGTTCAGCCCGCGAAAATCTACACAGAGCCTATCTTCGCCATTCTGTTTACGCACCAAAACGACCGGTGATGCATACAGCGAATTTGACCTCCGAATAATGCCCAAATGCAACAATTCGTCAACTATTTTCTCGACTACGAGCTGTTTCGGGATTGGAATACTGTACGGCTTTTTAACTATTGGTCTCTGAGACGTTAACTTAATTTCCATCTTGAATGTTCTTGACTTTCCCAATTCGGGCAACTTTTCTCCGAAACAATTCGCATATGCATTCACTAAATCAATTAAATTTTGCTCCACATTCGCTTCCAGTGTACTACCAATATCTAAAGCACTTCTACTAATTGCCATAACTCTGCATATGCCACCCTCAATCACAACTTTTCCTTTAGCCAGCACGTCGATTCCGATAAGTGCGTCATGCGTCATCACGGAGTCATTTATAATTAGCAACTCGACAATACGTAACACATCATCAAATCTAATGCGCGCTGATATTTTTCCGTGGCAAACAACCTCACCACCAGCAAAACCAATTAACTTTTCATTACACGCAATGACACATAAACCACACTTCTCTGTAATCGACCGCTTCACTAAGGATTTGCTGCTACCCGAATCAATGAGCGCTTTACATCTCAACTATGTCTTTCCTATGACTGTAATTTCCTTACACAATTCCATGCACACATTTTTATCACCAATATTGTTGATTGATGTTTCACTTTCTACACATTGTCCACTTTCCTCATATTCGTCACTTGCTATCTGATGTACACGGTCAACATGTTTTGTCTCAACCTTCCTTTTGGGTTTCACACAATTCCTAGCTATGTGCCCCCTTTCCCTACAATTGTAGCAAATTGGTCCGTTTTCACTTTTATTTGCATTATTTTTACTCACGTCCACTAACACATGCGATGA